ATATATATATATATATATATATATATACTTCATTGTGAAATACGTATTATTATTGTTATTGTTTTGTCGTTAAACCCATTAACTCATTGGTTTCCCTGAAAGTGTTTAATTAATGAGTAAATGCAATTTATTTATCTGCTGTTACGTTTAAATCAGGGCTCTGGTTTAAATCGGTGTTTATCAACCTAACTTGGTTGACCCAGTTCCATGAACCAATCACAACACAGTATGTTGTTCTAGCAAGGTTGTAAGACTGAGCACTGAGTCAGAGCGGAAGTTAGGCTCAAATCACTTCAGAATAAAACACTTTGTTTCCTAAATTGTCTCTTGGAAGGTTTTAATAAACATAAAAAAGTAATATTCATTACAGTATACATTAATTAATTGTATACTTTTATTGAGGTTTAAACAACATACTCTAATGATTAATAACAGAAATATTTATAAAGGAAATTGTTTTAATTTGACAATTCCCGGAACCTCTTGCAACAACCCTGGTTTAAAATGACAGAAATTTTGTCAAAGCTCTGCTGTATTTAGCTGACGGGATCGATGTAAAAATATCAATGAAAACAAACAAGTGACACTCTCCGTGTGGCGAATAGATTATATTCATTGTAAACGCGAGAATATGGCTATTTAGAGGTCAAGAAATGACGGGTTTCACGTGAAGTGGACGTTCAAGCTAGTCGTTGGTAATGTATCCACAGCTACTCAGCAAGCGGATGTATCGCTAACACAAACCCCGTCGTGTCACTGAGCATGTTTACTGCCTGACAACGTGCCACTGAGCAACTCGTCGGTGTAAACTTTTAACATTTTCTGGGAGCAAATGGCTTCTTCTGTGCTGAGTTGCTTCACGGGTCCCGAGGTGCTGGAGGACGTGAATCACTCTCGGAGTTTGATGAACGAGCTGAAATCTCTGTACGACCTCCGGCTGCTCGGGGACGTCACTATCGGTGTTGAGCGCGAGGAGGACAACGAAGTCCCCGGAGGACATGACGTCGGTCAGCTGTTCCTGTGCAGCCGCAACGTCCTCGCTGCTGCCAGCCCCTACTTCAGAAGCATGTTCACCGGGGGGTTAAATGAAAGCATGCAGGAGAGTGTGCTCATCCGAGGAGTAGACTCTGAATCCATGTCTGTCATTATAGATTATTGTTACACGGGCAGGGTGGCCATCACTGAAAGCAGCGTCCAGAGGCTCTACTCAGCTGCCAACATGCTCCAGATCGAGTACATCAGGAAAGCTTGCTCCAGCTTCATGACAAGGAGGCTGGATCTCTCCAACTGTGTGGGGATACTCAAATTTGCAGACACCTATGACAATCCTGAACTGAAGGAGAGCGCCAGAGCTTTCATTGCCAGGAACTTCAGCCAGGTGTGTAACGCTGGAGAGCTCTGCGAGCTGAACTTGGTGCAGCTGAAGGAGCTGTTGACTCTGGATACTCTGGACGTGGACTGTGAAAAGGTGGTGTGCTCGGCTGCTTTGCAGTGGATGGAGGTGAACGCGCCACTGCAGAAAGATGATTCGTTGCAAGCCCTGAAATGCGTGCGCTGGAACTTGTTCAGCGATAAGGACAAGTGTTATCTGGAGAGTCTCATGACGAGGCCGTTCATGAAAAAATACCTGGCGTTCTTTTTTAACAGGTCTGCAGACGACAGCCTTGGAATGTCTGCAGCTCAGGAAGTACCAAAACACAGAATTGGTGTGAGCGCCAAAGAGATGATCCTCTTCTTCGGCCTGCCAAATGACAACATAATGTGCTGTGACCCTTACTCAGAGGACTTGTATTTCATGGCTCCTCCTTCAGAAGATCTCAGCACTCGGGATTATAAACAATCCACAATGGAGTCATTAATCGCCTGTGCCACACCAGAAAACAACTTGTATCTAGCTTCACACCTTTCCAAACAGTTCTGGCTGTACAATCCTGTCCTCAACAGCTGGCAGGAGCTGGCAGAAAGGCCTCTGGGCAGAATACACTCCGGGATGGGCTACCTGAACGGCCATGTGTATCTTCTGGGAGGGAGAAATCCAGTGACTGATGCCAGACTGAAAGAGGTGGAGTGTTACAGCATCCAGAGGAATCAGTGGACATTTGTGGCTCCCCTGCCTCACTCTTTGGGTAAAATGCAAGTGGTGGCACTAAATGATCACTTGTATGTGGTAAACAAAAGGAGAATGCTTTGCTATGATCCCAAGAGGAATCGCTGGCGCCACTGTGGCTCACTTCGAGGAGACAAGCTTCACAAGGCCTGCATCTTCCAGGACCAGATCATCTGTGTGTGTGATATACCCGTGGTTAAAGCCTACAGCCCCACCAAAGGGGAATGGAAGAGGCTGGGGGACATCCCTATCGACAGCCGTGCTCTGAATTACCAGGTGATCCAGCACAACAACAAGCTGCTCCTCCTTACTCAGACTTTACTGCAGCACAACAAGAACAGGGTCCTTATCCACGAGTACGATCCTGCCAGGAACACGTGGAAGAACATCATGGCGGTGTATGTGTCCACTCTGGGACCTGTGTGCGTTTCAACCCGCGTGTACCCAGCGTGCCTAGACTCCGCTCACAGCTTTTCCACAGAGGAGGACGACGACAGCGGCTCCAGTGCCGACTGGGACTTGGACGGGTTGACGGACATAGATTCAGATTCTGGCAGCTCGAGCTCTTTTTCAGATGAAAACTGGTAGTGAACGTTTCAAAGAAAAACCTCATTTATTTTAAATTTATTTCATTTGTTTTGTTCTGTAGTATTTAGTTCAGTATTAAGGAAAGTTCTTGAAAGCACAAACTAGTAAATGTAAAAAACAATATCCACATCATTACAACACTTAAACATTGCTGTATAAAATGAACAACAAAAAATAATAGTGGTCACATGTGCTGCTAGAAAACATCTGGGCACAGCAGGCACTTTGATTTGTACCACTAAATTTTTTTAAACTTTTATTCAGTGTTTCCCAGTTGGATCTTTTTTAGTTTTTTTTTTTTTAGTTTTTGATTTGGTATGAGAAAGCATAACTTGAAAACAGGTATTTATATAACAAGACGGGAAAATGCTGCATCTTTGTGCTGCACCTGCTGGAACTGAGCCATCAATAATGTCTTTGTACTTCCATGTGTTCGTCCTGCTTTGATTTTAAACGTGGCATCATCGGTGCAGCGCTGACATTTATTACTGTGGAAACAGTAGAAAAATAACCGTGCCAATGTGAACCACGACATTGGAGATAGAAGTCAGAAAATGAACACCCCTTGGTCACATTTAATTCACTTCCATTGTTCCTTGAACTTTTTCTGATAAATTTAAATTAAATTGTGAGTTGTAGCTTCACAAAACAAAATAGCTGTGAGAAAACACTGCCAGAATATTCTGAACATACGTTTACTCCTGAATTAGTTTATAAAGCAGACTGGCTGTTAGAAATATGTATGTTTTTGATTTACCAGTTCAACCAGAGCTGTGGGAGTCACTAAACAAAGAAATCTAGCAGATGCCAAAAAGTGCTTCCTTCCAACAGTAGAAGAACACACGGAATCAGTGGAGGAACCCTTTAATGCTTTAACAATCCTATTTGAGGACATGTCTGTAATAGAAACTGTTTGCCCTAAATAAATCTGCAGCATCTGCTTCAGAGTGGTGTAAAATCCTGACATTTGGCAATTTATGTGCCTCAGATTAATGAACACCATGGTCAAAAATAGGGCGATCGGCAGCACAATCGTGTGTTGTTGATGTGATGCTGGAATGCAACTGGACTTTTTAAATTTAATAATAGAAATCTGACAACCAGAGTTCTGTGCTCTCTCAGGTCGAAGCCTTTCTGCCATGTTTGATTTTACTGACAGTTGTATTATTAGAGTGTTCTGATGACAAAGGATGCTTTATTGAAATTTGTTTGAGCCAGTTTGGGTCTATATTTGTATTATTACATGTTTATGTAAGTCTAAGTTAGAGTATATCAGGAAAGCAATATGTACTTTGTTTTTTGAGCATCGTTCCGTCGTGGTAAATTTTGTCATAACGATACACTTGGTTATCATTTTATAACCTGAGTATACAGAGTTGAAACACTAAAGTTGCTGCTCTCAGTGAGTTATGTGAAAATCTAATATTGTTGTGGTGCAAAAACAGTTTGAAGTCAGGTCATGTCCAACAGAACGGTCTATAAAAACACTGTGACTTTATTCTGTTGTGTAACTGAGAGGTGAGTGGTGATCCGACTGACTGTTGTGTATAATGGCGTTTGATTATGGACTTGTATGGTGGTACGTGGTAAAAAAATAAACACCCATGTCCAGTGGCATCATTTGTGTTTTCATGTTTATTAGATTACCTGCCTGTGTTGAAACAAGGCTAGAGGACGATAGATGAACCTGTGAATCCTAACTGCAACAAGATTTTTTGTAATTTTATATGGAGTTAATTTAAAAGGCATTTTTGTGAAAAGGAAAAAAGATCACTCACACAGTTAAAACGTTAACTGTTTAACTGGCATGAACAGATGCATAAACTCGAACATTTATCATAAATTTAGTGTAAAATTAGGTTTTTATAGATGTTTAAAATCTTGTGTTAATGTCCATGATGTTCTTTTTGAAGGTTGCAAAAACTAGAGTAAAGTTCAATCACAATGTACTGTATTGTCTGTTGCTCAGTAACAAGTCTGCCAGTATTCAATATGACACAACTAAAGTTTTAAATGAAAATATTGAAGTACAATGATTAAATGTTGTTTCAGTGTCTACTTATTGTCTTTAGTTGTTACATTCGTTCTCAATCACATATTACTCTCCTCTAATACTTTTTGCAATTCTTTAACAATTTAGCAAACTCAATGCATTTTTTATTTATTAAAGAAAAAAAAAACCCTTCCAGGTACTTAAGCTAGTGCAGAGTTTTACTCACTTTTAAGATGCTAGAAACGAGCATGCAAATTACGCAAAAGCAATAAAATCACATCCTTATGGCTTTCTTTGTTAGTTTTGTACTTTGTCAGTTCCGAAGTAGTTTCATTTCAGTTTATGAGTTCTGTTAGGTTATTTATTAAACCAAATACAATTACAGGTGTAACATTTTCTGAACAGAATAAAATAAATAAAAAACGACTCAAAATAAAACATGTGCTTTCTGGACTTTTTATAGAATGATTATTTTCCAGTAGGTTATAAAATAGTTCAATTAAATGGCTAATTTCAGTCCAGAACATTTAAAAGCAGCATATTAATAAATATATAAAGGGGGTTTAATTACCTTTTTATATCAGAGTCAGAGTTTCTTTATTGTCATTCGCACCTCATGTGGTACATGTGGTGGAGCAAAATTATGTACACAGGGAATGATATTCCCCGTGTACATACATGTTCCCCATGTAATTATCTGAATAAAAACTGAATGCAACGATGCGGAGGTGCCAACATCTAATATTTTATTCAGAATAGAACACAAATCACAGATCAAAAGTTTAAACTGAGAGAATGTATCATTTTAAGGGAAAAGTCTGTTGTTTCCAAATTGCATGGCGTCAACAAATCCCCAAAAAGTTGGGACAAGTCCATGTAATTACCACTGTGTGGCATCCCCCCTTCTTCTTACAACACTCAACAGATGTCTGGGAACAGAGGAGACCAGTTTCTCAAGTTTAGAAATAGGAATGCTCTCCCATCCATCCATCCATCCATCCATTATCTTTACCCGTTTATTCCATTTTGGGTCACGGGGGTCGCTGGTGCCCATGTCCAGCAATCACTGTGCGAAGGGCGGGGTACACCCTGGACGGGTCGCAAGTCCATCACAGGGACGGAATGCTCTCCCATTCATGTCTAATACAGGCCTCTAACTGTTCAATTGTCTTGGGCCTTCTTTGTCGCACCTTCCTCTTTATGATGTGCCAAATGTTCTCTATAGGTGAAAGATCTGGACTGCAGGCTGGCCATTTCAGTACCCGGTCCTGGATCCTTCCCCTACGTAGCCATGATGTTGTGATTGCTGCAGAATGTGGTCTGGCATTATCGTGTTGAAAAATGCAGGGTCTTCCCTAAAAGAGATGACGTCTAGATGGGAGCATATGTTGTTCTAGAACCTGAACATAGTTCTCTGCATTAATGGTGCCTTTCCAGACATGCAAGCTGCCCATGCCACAAGTGCTCATGCAACCCCATACCATCAGTGATGCAGGCTTCTGAACGGAGCGTTGATAACAACTTGGGCTATCCTTGTCCTCTCTGGTCCGGATGACATGGCGTCCCAGTGTTCCATAAAGAACTTCAAATCGTGACTCATCTGACCACAGAACAGTCTTCCATTTTGCCACACTCCATTTTAAATGACCCCTGGCCCAGTGCAAATGTCTGAGCTTGTGGAGCTTGCTTAGAAATGGCTTCCTCTTTGCACTGTAGAGTTTCAGCTGGCAACGGCAGATGGCACGGTGGATTGTGTTCACTGACGATGCTTTCTGGAAGTATTCCTGAGCCCATTCTGTTATTTCCTTGACAGTGGCATTCCTGTTTGAGGTGCAGTGACGTTTAAGGGCCCGGAGATCACGAGCATCCAGTAGTTTTACGGCCTTGACCCTTACGCACAGTGATTGTTCCAGATTCTCTGAATCTTTTGATGATGTTATGCACCGTTGATGATGATAACTTAGAAGTCTTTGCTATTTTATGCTGGGTAACACCATTCTGGTATTGCTGCACTATCTTTCCGCGCAACAATGGTGGAATTGATGATCCTCTTACCATCTTGGCTTCTGAGAGACACCGACACTCTGAGAAGCTCTTTTTATACCCAATCATGTTGTCAATTGACCTAATTAGTGTTATTTGGTCTTCCAGCTGTTCGTTATATGCTCAGTTTTCTTTTTCCAGCCACTTATTGCTACTTGTCCCAACTTTTTTGGGATTTGTTGACACTGAAATTTTGAATCAACATATTTTTCCTTTAAAATTTTACATTTACTCAGATTAAACTTTTGATCTATCATCTATATTATATTACAAATAAAATATTGACATTTGCCATCTCCACATCATTGCATTCAGTTTTTATTCACAATTTGTTTAGTGTCCCAACTTTTTTGGAATCCGGTTTGTAGATGGAATCGCTTGAAAAATTAACTTATCCTCCTTTAAATTAAATTACCTTTCTCGTTTATCATTCAGGACACATACATATTATGAGGTTTGACCCAATTCTAAAAAAATAATGTGTTGTATTGTATTCATCACACTTGTTTAAATCAGAGATAAAGCAAATGTTTTGTCCTGATCAATACACGTCATTTTTACGCGACATCTCGTAGTGGCGGCTCCTCTTCTCGCGATATTTGCTCCGGAAACATTTAGAGCGCGACAACAACATCATGAGCGATGGCAACAACACACAGGAGGAGCTGGACACAGTTTTCGGTGAAAACGACTTCTCCTCCTCCTATAACGAACACGGCAGTGTGAAAGCCCGAATCTTTAAGATAATTGTCATCGGAGATTCAAATGTGGGGAAGACTTGTTTGACTTTCCGGTTTTGTGGAGGCGCTTTCCTGAAAAACCCAGAGGCGACCATCGGTGTGGATTTCAGAGAGAGGACGGTGGACCTGGATGGAGAGAGCATCAAGGTGAGGAGAGGGAGCCCTGGGTTTATTTTTTTATTACCATCGAAATGTTAGTTGAGTAACTTACTTGTTTCCACCATAATACATTATTGGCTAATATATAGATTGAATTAAACTGAAGCAACACAGCAAAGCCTGTTTTCTATTTTACTTAAAAGTTCATATAGAAAACGCACAGGTGGGCTAAGTCTTGAGTTTCCTAGCAGGTATGCACAATACTAGTTTTTTTTAATGGTAATGATGTCATTGAAGTTACTTTTTTAGAAATATGAGTTACAAATGACTGGTTTTCAGTCGATCTGTTTAGCCCAGTACTGTCCAATTAAAGGACCCTCTCTCACCAGGTATTTGGAATTGAAATGACAGAGGTAAAATTAAATTTTACTTCTTAAAAATATTTCTTCAGAATCTGTAGCATTTTTAAGATTCTGGTACCGCTGTAAAGTTATGATTCACATCTTTATTTGGAAGGAAGTACCATAATCAAAGTGGAGGATTAACATATTGAATGAAGGCCAATTAACCCATTTTGAGTTTTGGTTGGAGGCCTGTTGTCAAGGTCTACTTCGGATTGATGATCCTTTGAATACCATTTAGTTTAGTTTTGCTTCTGTTCCAGTTGCAGATTTGGGACACGGCAGGTCAGGAGCGGTTCAGGAAGAGCATGGTGGAGCACTACTACCGCAGCGTTCATGCCGTCATCTTTGTGTACGACATGACCGACCTCACTTCCTTTGAGAGCATTCCTGAGTGGATTGACGAGTGCAGCCAACATTCTGTTGGGCCCCTGGTCCCTCGTGTCCTGGTAGGAAATAAGTGTGACCTGAGGGACAGTCGACAAGTGCCCACATCGGTTGCCCAATACCTCGCTGACCGCTACGACTTCCCTCTCTTTGAGACTTCGGCCAAGGACCCGGCTGAGAAGGAGCACATTGATGCCATCTTTCTGACTTTAGCTTATAGGCTAAAGAATCACAAGCCTCTGAGACTAAAGCAGCCGAGTGAGAGCAGCCTCAGGGAGCTGTGGAACCAGCAAGATCAGGAAGGAGGATTTTGTCAATGCTGAGGTTACCTGTGTCCTTCATAGGTGAACTCAAAAGTGTGCACAGAGACTGTTGCACCAATCAGGAGTAATAATGGTGCTGAAAAGGCAATGTTGAACAAACTGGCATTTAATTTGGTTTAAAAATAAAAACTGACGCTTCCTGTGATTCTAAAATGTAATTCTGTCTTATCTGACATGCGGCTAGTGAGTGTAAACATGCAAGTTTTCACAATGTTAAACCAGGATTTCTGTAAAAGGAAAAATATGGACGTAGAGGGATGCCAAGTATTTGCACTTTAGTCAATGATTGTTTGTAAATGATATACACTCATCGCAATCATTGTCCATCTTACAGAATTACACACCAGCTAAAGACAGTAACAAAACAGAGAGTAAATTAGAGACAGTAATGCTTGTGGTGATAAAAACAGAAAAGGAAAAAAAAAATGCAACTTAACATTTTTGTTTTAAAAAACAAAAGTAAAACTGCAGCAGGATTTTGTTTTGCTGATGTTTTGTCAGCTTGTTTGTGCTCATGCATTTATGATGAGAGACCTCAATTTAGAAAAAACAAAGTGGTAAAATGTAGCTGTGTTTGGAGATGAAATCCAAATCACGCAACTTCTTTTCAAAACCAGTTTGAATACAAACTTTGTGAAATGAAAAAAAAAGATATCAGTTCTGGCTGATAATTACTCTAAATGTACATTGATGCAGAAACTTTGCACTATTAAAGTTTTTTTTTTTTTGACCATGTAAAGCTGCAACTCAATAAAAATGGTTTTATCTGTATCTTGTGTAGCTGTTTGAGTTTTCTGGTGATTAAATGTAATGTTAGCTGTGGAGTTGTCAAGCAGTTAATATTATCTGACTAAAAGATTAGTCAAATTGCTCTATAAATTGGGTAATATGTTGGGTATAAATGTTCTTTCTACCATAATCTACCCATCTAGTCACTACAGACTCGCGTTCGGACTGCTGTTTAATATACCTCATTATTTGTTCTTAGCGTATATCTTAGAAGACAGATCTTTTAGCGTTCGTTTAACGTATCTTAGATCCTTATATACTGTTCCTTTTATACTCTATATTTTTGCTATTTTGAGGTGTAATTGGAACCTTGAGTACACAATTTCGTTCCACCTCGTTGACCACGTGATGCGAATGACAATAAAGAACCATGAATAATTATTATAGTTGTTTTATTTAACCTAGTTTATCTGTTTAGGCAATATTTGAAGAAGAACTTGAAATTTATACGTCATTAATTACATCTTTATGTAACTAAACTTTATCGGCTATAAAAGATTAATTAATTATTAATTAGCAAATGCAGACCATAAACTGTTTTTCCAGTTTTCCATCTTTGACCTAATTATAGCGACGACCAGTGGCCAAGTTTTGCTCTGATGATGCGTTCAATAAATCGCGTTAAAATTAACACCCTTACATGTAGCTATTTGTTCAGTCAAAGAAAATATAATTAGGTAATTTTTACACACACACACACACACACATATATATATATATATATATATATATATATATATATATATATATATATATTAGCAATTAATTATTTTTTATAGCCTCTTTAACAGCCTATTTATTTTTTAGCCTCCATCAATGAGATGAATTGTCATTTCTACCAGCTTTTTGTGTGTAAGTGAAAGCAGCACTGGAATCAGGCTGTTTGTATTCTGCACGCGGCGTCTTTCTGCGCCCATGGTAACTCCTCAACACTGGACCGCTGATTCAGAAAAGACGTGTCTATCTTTTTATGCAGGTAGGGGATTTATTCTCACCATACATGTTGTTAAAAGTATAAAGCACGCAGTTGTTCGGTCGTCGCCTGTTTTTTTGTTTTTTTTGCCTACAGGCGCATTAACATGTTGGGTGGAGGGAGGATTTACTCGGTCTGTTTTATCTGTCGCCTGACCGCTGCAAGCTAGGAATAACGCTAACGTCTGCGAGACTAGTGGCTGTAAACAAGTAAATAAGCTATTTTAAATAGATGAGTTTATTTTGTTATGGATAAACCACTATGAGGGGACCACGTTTGTTAGAAATCACTATCGCTGACCCCACCAGCTAGCTTAACGAACATGTTAGCAGGTGTTGCAGTGTGAGCCACAGATTAATCTGCTGCATCTTTAGGAGACTCTTACCAGCGAATTGTTCGCTATCTAAATGTCCAGCTCCAGCCTGGTCGTTGTTGCACTTCTAATACAGTTAATGCTCGTTTGTCTGCTCTTTCTGTTGCTTTTATTCGAGATGAATTTGTCAGAAATGTGTGACAACGCTAAGAAGGGCCGTGAGTATGCCCTGCTTGGGAACTATGACTCCTCCATGGTGTACTACCAGGGCGTCCTGCAGCAGATCCACAAGCACTGCCAGACCCTCAGAGACCCAGCTCAGAAAGTCAAATGGCAACAGGTAAGTGAACCCCCACCCACCTTTAAGTCTAAAGGTTGTTCTTTCTTGTTGCTGTTGCTCTCAAACATATCTTAGTGGCTACAAATGGTAAATGGACTGTACTTGTATAGCTCATTTCTATCTTATCAAGATACTCAAAGCTCTTTACAACACAATTTGTGCCTCATTTACCAATTCATACAGCACTCTACTAGATCTCTACCAAGACTAATCAGTGCTTTATCACATTCATACACTGATGGGACACACATCGGAGACAATGAGGGGTTCAGTGCCTTGCCCAGGGACACATCAGCATGTGACTGTTGGTGGAATCGAACCCCCACCTCTTGCCTTGGCGCACGACTACTCTAACCACTCAGCCCCAAGCACAATTAGCAACTACCCTATGCTGCCATACACTGAAACATGGAGATCATGGAGGAAACGAGAGAAATGCACAAAACGTCAAGTTTGTGTTTATGCCGCCAAAGAAAAATCCCATTTTTAAATACTGTGAGAGAGAAATTGGAGCTTATTTGGAATGGAGTTTTTTTTTAGAGGTGATAAATTTATACAAATTAAAAGACAGAACGCCCTGACCACAGCAAACCATGGTGCTGCTTACATGCTGCAGGGCTGCATCAGAGAAGTTTACTGTAGTAAAAGACACTTTACAGTGCAATGTTTTAGAGAACATTTTGAATATTTTATTAGGTCAATGACCCATAACGCACAACCAAGAGCACAGAAATGATAGAAAATAAAAAGGTGTTCATACAGAATTTTTACTGAAGGATTACCACAAAAGAATTTAGAGGGTCTTATTGATGCTAAAGTTGCTGCGCCCATGGAGTAATTTAGATATATTTCTGGAGAAAATATCATTCATTCATTCATTCAGCCTTTATTTAAACAGATAAATCACATCGAGCCTCAAGGACTCATTTACAAGTGAGACCTGTTTGGACAGACAAAACGGTCGTAAACTTGACACATGTAGTAGCTGGAGGTGAAAAATTCCTATCAGGCTTTTTTTTTTTCTTGCCTGAGGAAAAAACCCTCTAATATTAAAAAGCACCTCGCACAAACAAGCACATATTGAGGTAGACATTCTGCGGGGGGGGGGGGGGGTGAGCATGTTCATAGATACTCTCAAGGTCACTGTAAGAGTTTTGATAAGGATGGAATAATCAGTCAATGTCCTCCGGTGAGATCCGTAAACATTCTTGAGGTATGTCGAGGAATGGCCAAGGATAATGACTATGAGAATCCAAGAGTCCTGAAATGATGACACAAGTTTATTCAGCTGGTTTCATCGGGTTATCAGTTGGAAATTCCTCAGGGAGTGGGTGGTGAGCATCAGATCACATTTTCTCCAGGCAAATTCAGATAAGATGGCCTTCAAGGCCAGCCAAGGGAGCCAAATTCAGATCAACACACAGTTGTTTTGGGGACAGGCAGAACTTAATGACATCTACCTTGAGTTTGTGTTGGTATATAAAATACATGGCCACACCGATGGAACATGACTGAGTAAAATCCCCACGATCTGATCCATTCAGCCCAAAGCATTTGAGTCTGGGTTCTCAACACGAACCAAGCCTTCATAAAGGCAAGCAGCATGATCGGGTCCAAATTTGCTGCCGACGACTTCCTTGATTGATTGATAAAACCAGCAACCAGCCGAATCCAAAAAGCAGGAACCAGTTATCGAAAATCCAATTAAATATGCGTCTTTAAAATCTACAAATGGCAGCAGAGACACATCATCAAGTCTTCCAAGTCGATGAGCTGCATGCATGCCAACAGGGCAAATTGGCTCGCCTAAAGCCTGTCTCCTCTTCAAAGAAATGTTGTAAATTGAGTTGAAGGACCAAAACAAATCCATAATTATGGTTCGGAAGATATGTAAGAGAGGCTCACAAGCAGTTTCACAGACAGATAGAGCAGCAAAGCAAAGCGGAGAGGGAGGGGAGAAGCATCCGATCTCGGCAAGAGCAAGTGGTGAAGTGTTCTTCAATTTTCAAAGTTTCATTTATTCTGAAATTTGTTTGTGCCCACATTTCATTCATCGTGTCTGTAAAATAAATCTCACGCTTTAGAACATGAGTGTAACTTCAAACCCTTTGTGGTTTCTTTGTGCACATTAGTTGCAGCTTGTTTGGCCGAATATTTTGTGATTCAGTGTTGCTTTATTTTATTCTGCGTTTGAGCAGCTCAAGCAGGAACTGACTGAGGAATATGAGCAGGTGAAAGGCATCATGGGAACCCTGGAGAGCTTTAAGTCTGAGAAGCCTGTTGACATCATTGTCCCTCAGCTGGAGCAGCAACCTGAGGATCCAGCCGTCTGGCCCCCACCCAACCCAGTAGAACACAGGTGGGTGTAGCTTCTAACACCTACAGCTTCATAGATTTATAGTTATTATTATTATTATTAGTCAGTGAATCAGGAAAATAAAATATAATTTAAAGTTTTTTGTGAGAACAGAATGTTTACATGATAAATATGCTGCACAATATTTTATTAAAGAGCTTTTATTAGACTGTGCTGTAAGTACACCAATTTGGAAACAATTATTTTGTATTTAAGTCTGATTGAAGATTATTTATGCCTGATCAGAGTCATAAATTCTAGACAATAATGCAAATATAAGCAGAAAAAAATGTCTGTAAGCAAAATAAAATAAACAGTTTTGCCTCATTCCTACTTTATCCATTAAAAATCAGGGATCAAACTGTATTTTACCATGTTCCCAGTCCTCGGGGTCCAGCTGTGATGCAGATCATTTGTTAACTGTGATCAGTTGTTTCATTAGAGCAGCTTGTTAATAGTGCTACCTAGAAACTTAGTAAAGCAAAATGGCTAGAAAAAAGCACTTTGAACTCCAGAGTCATATTCACAGAACCACTTTTATCTCAAGTTCAACGTGCACAAACACAAAACCTCTACAGAGAACTAGCAGAGCTGGTTTAAAATTGTATGAACTTTTGTGATTTTGTTACACTGTTTGCATATCGGGAAATGTTTCCTCTGTTGCAACTCTTTCCCGTTAGCAAATCTGTTTATTATTGTCTTTGCAGGAATCCTGTTGCGTTGAAGCGGCCCAACAGTGGTGTGAAGCTGCAGCAGAAGAAGGAATCTCCTGGTCTGCAGCACAGAGGTGCAGGACCAGGTGTTCGCGCTCAGGCCAACCCTAAAGCGGCAGGGATCAGAGATGCTCGAGGCGCAAAAGCCAAAGACGATAAGGTCAGACAGCTGGCTAGACGGAAATATGAGCTGATATGCTCGATAGCTTATTATTTTTATATTTTCTCCCCCTGCAGGGTAAGAAGGCGGATACACAGGGAGATCCAGAACAGAAGAAGTTTGATGGCACAGGATATGACAATGACTTGGTGGACTCTCTGGAGAGAGATATAGTATCTCGTAACCCTAATGTGCACTGGTACGGTGGCACACGCCGTTGCCTCCTTATATGCAGATTTTTGTTTCGTGCTGCTTGCTGATTTCTCTCAATGGGCTGCAGGGAAGACATTGCTGATCTGGAAGATGCTAAGAAGCTGCTGAGGGAAGCAGTGGTGCTGCCCATGTGGATGCCCGACTTCTTTAAGGGGATTCGTCGGCCATGGAAGGTACGCGCTCAAAAACAGGATGTGTTTACTCAGCCATGTGCGTTTTTGAGTGTAGTTTGTCAGTCGTGAACTGTAAATCAGAGAATGATACAAAAGCTTTTCTATCCAAGCGCTAAGTGAAATGTAAATTAAATGCTATTTTAATACTTTATAGTGCCATCTGTTTTTAACAAAGACACATCTGCCTGAAAAACACTATTTTTCCTCTTTCAGCTTTAGTTAGACTTTATCATGTGAAGTTTTTGCCCCGTCATGCTCACCATGTGAGAGAATCAGCACAGATCTGCCTTTCATAAGCTTAAGAGCTTTTTACATTTTAAACAGATTTTTTTAAATAGAAAACTGGAGGAGCTGACGATCAATAAGGTAAAAGAAATATGGGAGTGCAAGTCAGCCGTTATTGCCACATTAGTTTCTGCCTTACTGTGTGTCCACTCCCACCTTTTACACCGACACTTAATTCAATCAATCGGTGTGAGCCGTCCAACAGGAAATATGTTGATGTGAATCTATTCTGGGGCGTCAGAGGCTGCAGTTTTATGAGAATGTCATCAAAAGGTCTTTTTTTTTTTTTTGTGGTTCATGTGAGCTCTTGGAATATCCTTTGTTTAAGAGCTCAGTAATTCCAATTTTTTTATTTATTAGGTTTTCTTCTATAGTAAGTGGTGTTTCACGTTAGTTTTTTTTAGCACAAGTTTGTTTATGCATCTGGTGTAAAATGTGTTTTCTCTCAGGGTGTGTTGATGGTTGGCCCACCAGGGACTGGGAAGACCATGTTAGCCAAAGCTGTGGCCACAGAATGTGGGACTACTTTTTTCAACGTGTCCTCCTCCACGCTCACCTCTAAATACAGAGGCGAGTCTGAAAAACTTGTCCGTCTGCTGTTTGAAATGGTGAGTGTAAATATAGGTGGCATGTAATCCAGCTGTGGGTTATTTTTTTTAAGATGCTGACGTTTGACATGTTGTTGCTAGCTAGGCCTGTCACGATAAACAATAAATCAATTAATTGCATGATAAATGAAAATTATCGACCTCATTTTCATTTATCAGCTTTATTGTTTCTTCGTGTCTCTCTTGCTACTGGAGACACTGGATGACAAAAAGATCAACTCCACTGACCCCTCTCCTTCTCTTTTTTTCTTTAAAATCCATGCACCACCTGGTGGTGGATGGGTTAAATGCAGAGAGTAATTTCGCCATTGTATGGAAACATACAGTGCTGACATTGTGATGACATTATTATTATTATTATTAATTGTCCAAAATCGTGTTTTTGGATCATTAAAAGCGGCTAAGCTGAGAAGCTAAGCTACAAGCTAAGCTAACAGGTCGACCTCGGGGGGGGGGAACCTCCGTCTTGTCGAAGCTCCAAAATTCATGGTTGAAACCTGTGCCTTTGTGTAAAAAGTTTTTCTCTATAAAAACAAGCTGAGAACTTGTTTACTGATTTATATATATATATATCAATCAACCTTTATTTATACAGGTAAATCCCATTGAGCCTCGAGGACTCATTTACAAGAGAGACCTGATTTCAACAAAGAAAGATGACAACAATGGACAACAGCAACAACAATAAGCAGTTATAAAAACTCATACTACAGGTTTTTTTTTTTTTTTTTTTTTTTTTTTTTTAACAAATAGGATGGCTAAAAGGAAAAAGGTAACAAAACCAAAAAAACTACTAGATTCCGAGACAAATGTATAAAACTAAAAACAGGAACATGTCTGCATTGGTCCCTGCCAGGAGTCCAACAGATTCTTAAAGCCACTTAGAGAGGTCAAGGTCGAGAGCTTCAAATCTTTTTGTAAGATATTCCAGGAAACAGGAGCGGAGTAGGAGAAGGCCCTTTTGCCTAGTTCAGTCCTCACTGAGGGAACACTGCAGGTAATAATGTCCTGAGAGCGCACTCCGTAGCTGCACTCACGCAGAGACATGTAGGAGGAGATGTATGAAGGCAGCAGACCAAGAAGTGATTTAAAGATGAAAATGTACCAGTGAGAGAGTCTGCGTGAAGTTAATGATGTCCAGTTAACCAGTGAATACAGGGTGCAGTGGTGGGTACGATAATCACAGCCAGTTATGAATCTTAGTGCACCATGATAGACAGCATCCAACATCTGCAGGGTTCTTGTAGGAGCGTTCATGTAAATAATGTCACTGTAATCAA